CCAAGCAGCAGTATTTATAGCAACCAAGCTATGCCTGCTAACTCTTGGGTGTCAGGCAACACAATCTAAGGAATTCTTCATAAAATGGCAGCCAAATGAAAATAAATTTGAGAACTATAAAAAAGGGTGTAGAGATTGAAATGGAGACCTCTCAATAGAGGAAGCTCAAATGGCTAAAAGGCACTTAAGAAATTGCTCAACATCTTTAGCAATCATGGAAATGTTAATCAAAACAGCTCTGAGACACAAACTTGCACCTGTAAGAATGGCTAAAATCAAAAATATCAACAACAGTTTATGTTGGAGAGGATATGAAGAAAGGCGAACACTCCTCCATTACTGGCAGGAATGAAAACTTGTACAGCCACTTTGGAATTCATTGTGGCAGTTTCTCAGGAAAATGGGAATCAGTCTGCCTCAAAATTCAGCAATTCCACTCATAGGTATATACAACAAGAACATTTGTTCAACTATGTTTATAGCAGCATTATTTGTAATAGCCAGAATCTGGAAGCAACCTAGATGCCCCTCAACCAAAGAATGGATAAAGATAATATAGTTCACTTACACAATGGTATACTCCTCAGCAGAAAAAAACCATGAAATCTTATAATTCCCAGGCAAATTGATGGAAGTAGAAGAAACCATCCTGAGTGAGGTAACCCAGACTCAGAAAGAAAACATGACATTTATTCTCACATAATTGCATATTAAACAAAGAACAAAGGATAACCAACCTACAATTGACAAACCCAGACAAGCTAGGAAACAAGGAGAACCTTAGGAGACACATACATGGACCCATGAAGAAGGGGAAAATTGAGTCCCTGCGTAAACTGGGTGGGAAGGGAGATAGGAGAAAGAAGAGAGGAGAAGGGGGAAGGAGAACATGCGGGATCAGGAAGGTTGAGTTAGAGGAAGAATAGAGAAAGACAGCAGGGAAAAATGTACCCTAATAGAGGGAACAGTTATGTGCTTAACCAGAAATTAGGCACTAGGGAAATGTTCATGAATCCACAATGATAACCCCAACTAAAAATCCAAGCAATTGTGGAGAGGGTGCCTTAAATACCTTTCTCCTCTACTGAGATTGATGACTACTTTGAATGCCATCATAGAGCCTTCATCTAGTAGCTGATGGAAGCAGAAGCAGAGATTCACAGTTAATAACTGAGCAGAATTCCTGCTATAGAGAGGGAGGAGTGATGAACAAAGGAATCAATACCATACTGGGGAAACAGCGGATCTGAGCAAGTGGGAGTTCATGGACCCAGAATGACAGTTGGGGAGCCAGCATGAGGCCGTACCAAGCCCACTGAGCATGAGTGGGTGTCTTTAGAAGGGCTTGGGCAGTCTATGGGGCTTCAGACAGTGAAACCAGTATTTATTTTTAGTGCAAGAATGGACTTTCAGAGCACATCCCCTATGGAGGGATACTCTCTCAGCCTAGATACACGGAGGAGAATAGTAGAACACAAGTGCTATGAAAGTGTGTGAACTGTCTAATGTATGCTTGATGTTTAACTGGGAATGGGGCCAGAAAAAAGGAAGACTAGTAAGTGGGATAACCAAGAGTAAGAATTATGAAGAAGCCTCATGAAATCACACTTTAATTCAAGTTATTAGGAAATACAATTTTTAAAACACTGAACAGAGGAATCCTACATGGGTAAATCATGAGGTTCCCAGTAAAAATGGTATGCAGTGTAACTCTCTGTACCAAGTACTGGTTCTCTGCCTAAGAATTGCTAGGAAGAGACATCCCCAACAAAACAGCCAGTGCTCTTGTTTGAACACCCTAAGTACATTGTGTTGCTAAATACACCAAAGAGGTTATGTGTTTCTCTGTGTGTTGGTGCAATGCCTGAGTGAGACAGCAGGACAAAGAGGGAGAGAAACAGGCATACACACACACACACACACACACACACACGAGAGAGAGAGAGAGAGAGAGAGAGAGAGAGAGAGAGAGAGAGAGAGAGAGAGAGAGAGAGAGAAGAAATGTTGGATATACCTGGGAACTCTCCTTCCTGGCTCCCTTTTAAAGGCTGTTGGCAGGGAAATTGTCAATTGTGTTACTTTCCCCTGAACCCAGCACATTCAATACCTTCCTACTGGGCAAGTTCTTTATACAGGTGCAATAATGCTGGCATGACTGTTTATGGGTATAACCAATCTCTCTCTTGATTAGTTTAGACATCTGACATATAGACAGAAATTCATGCAATGATCAAAAATTCAATCTTGGAGTTTATATGTCAGAGGAGACAACCTACTTCTGTTATTTAATGATATTTTTGTTAATCTATCATCTAAATACTCATGTTTAGAATTATGGCTTTTTACTACTCTCATCCTAGGTGAAAGATGTCTCCTCTTACAGTATTTAGTGGATAATGTAAAGACCCATAACTGTTCAGAAGTCCTATGAATTAGAAACTGTGTAATACTAGGGCAGTTATGATTTCTTTCTGGCTGAGGGAGGGTCCCACAAGTCTCCTTTACCTCCATGAGGGTCTATAGGCAGTTAATGAAACATGTCATTTATTATGTTTGTGGAGTAAATACTTCCCCATTTTTCATTACTTCCAAGTGAAGTATTTCTTCAGTTTTTTATTGTTTTGATATATGAGGTTAGGTTCTCTGTCTATCTAGTTGACTTGGAGCTTGGACTATGAAACTGGCTGAACTCTCAGTGATCCACTTGCTTCTGCCTCCAGAATTTGGACATTAGGCACCACTGAGCCAAGTGTCCATGGGGATTTCATTATTTTTCACAATTATAAAACCCCCATTTACATACCAATATTAAATCCCTCTCTCTCCAGTCCTCCCAATTGCCCCACCATCTCCCAATCCTACCCTCATTCATTCCTCAGAGAGAATGAGACATTTCATGAGGGAATCATCAAATCTGTTCCATTATTTGGGGCAGGACTAAGGCCCTCCCTGTTGTATCTTGGCTGAGGAAGTTATTCCTTCATAGGGAAAATGCTCCCAAAAACCTGTTCATGTACTAGGGATAAATACTTGTTCCCCTGCCAGTGGCTCTAGACTACCCAAGCTCCCACAAGTGACACCCACAATCAGGGGGCCTAGTTCAGTGTTCTGCAGATTACCCAGCTGTCAGTCTAAAGTCCTGAAGCACCCAGTTGCTTAGGTCAGCTGTTTCTGTGGGTTTCCCCTTTGTTCATCACTTCTCCCTCTCTACAACTGGAGTCCAGGAGTTCAGCTCAGTGGTTAGGTGTGAATCTCTGCTTCTGCTCCATCAGCTCCATTGCTGATGGGAATTTAAACTTTTACAGTCACTTTGGAAAACAGTATGTTGATTTCTCAGTTGAATCTATCTACCTCAAGACCCAGCAATTCCACTCAGTAATATAACCAAAGGCTGCATACTCATACGGCAAAGACAAACCACACAGGAATCTACTTTTTGGCATGTGTCAAGTAGTTTTTTTTTGTTTTGTTTTATTTTGAAAAAGATTTTCACTGTGCACCACTGAGCCAAAGTCATTGGATATTTCTAAGCCATTTGCAAGCATGCCTGTTATGTCATATGCTGTTTGTGGGATGGGCAACCCCTTTGCTTGACAGGTTGGAAAGGAGGACTGTGTTAGACTTTGCTGATCCTTTGTGTATATAGAATTCACTAAACAGGGATAGATAAATTCAGGTTGAGGGCATCATATAACTAAGGTTTGCTTTACCTTGGTAAAGATGCTGGGCTGGATCCATGATTTTCAACATTCCCATCAGAAATGGCTGGACGAATATGGACGGCTTCTCTCTTTACACTCACTCACCCTCTTTCTATTTGAAAGTTTTGTTCAACTATGAAGATTTTGAAGTGAGCAAATGATGAGATCACTTTTTTACATTTAGTTTAGGGTGAGATTTGCTTTTGTGAGCAATTTGAACACTAGGGAAAGGATTTGTCTAATTGAATGTGTTTGATGGGTGCAACTTCTAATGGATAATGATGCATAGGTATTATATATGCCAAAACTTTATGTAGTTCTTGAAAATACGAGTTGTGTAATGTACAGCACAATTAGATGTCTTTGCCACATTTTTGTTTTACTATATTTTGTCATTATGATGATGATGATGACTGAGTATGAAGTCCTGACAGCCCTAGAACTGACTATGTAGACCATGGTGACCTCAGATTCAGAGATCTTCTTGCCTTGGCTTACCAATTCCTGGGATTGAAGGCGTATATCATCTTGCATGACATTATTCTCAGTTTTTGGATGTTGAATAAGATACATAGTTCACAACTGTGTTTAAGTACAGCTTTAGGGATATAATAACCTCTTGAGTCCATCACAGTCTTCACACAACTGGTAGTGCACGGAAATTCTTGTAGCCCAGGCATCCACACATATTAAAAATAATTCACACAATTATTTTGGCAGAATTTTATTTCAATATATATTTTGTGTTATAAGTTTTAAAACTTATATAAAGTTTTTCAGAAGTTCCTTATCTTTGTGTTTTCATTGTGTATACCTAGGATGTTTAAGTCAAGAACATGGTATAAATGCTAAGTCACATTATTTACAATGGTGTTTGTCCAGTATGGACTTTCTGTTGGCATCTAGGATTTGAATGGTGGATATAATACATGCTTCAGTCAAAACTTTTGTGAAGTTTCTCTCTGTGATATGAATTTTCTGATGTGCTCCAATATATGAGCAGCTACCAATATCTTCTTACATTCATTTCATCAGTAATACCTGTCTCCAGTGTGAACTCTCTGAGATGTTCTAAGATTTTTTATCTAGGCAAAGGATTTGTCACATTGCAGGTATTTCTTACAGTTTCTTTCCAGTATGGACTCTCTAATGTGTACTAAGACTTTTCTTGGAGGAAAAGGATTTCTCAAGTGGCGGACATGTGTATGGTTTCTCTCCAGTATAGATTATCTGATGTTTTCTAAGATTTGAACTCTGGTGAAAGGACATATCACATTCTCCACATTTGTAAGGTTTCTCTCAAGAATGAATTTTCTTATGTTTTCTAAGATATGTGCTTGTAGTGAAAGATTTTCCACATTTTCCACATTTGTAAGATTTCTCTCCAGTATGAATTTTCTGATGGTTGCTAAGACATGTGCTTGTAATAAAATATTTGTCACATTCTTGGCATTTATAAGGCTTCTTTCCTGTATGAATTCTCTGATGCACTGTAAGAGTTGACCTCACAGTAAAGGATTTGTCACAGTAATTACATGTGTATGGTTTCTCTCCTGTATGAATTCTTTGATGCTCTGTAAGAGTTGACCTCACAGTAAAGGATTTGTCACATTCCTTACATCTGTAAGGCTTTTCTCCTGTATGAATTCTGTGATGCAGTGTCAGACTTGACCTTGTACTGAAGGATTTGTCACAGTCCTTACATGTATAAGGCTTTTCTCCTGTATGAATTCTGATATGCAGTGTAAGACTCGAACTTGTAGTGAACAATTTGTCACAGTCCTTACATTTGTAGGGTTTCTTTCCTGTATGAATTCTCTTATGCAATGAAAGATTTGAGCTCACATTGAAGGACTTGTTACATTCCTTACATGTGTAAGGCTTCTCGCCAGTATGAATTCTCTCATGTTTTGTAAGACTTGACTTCATAATAAAGGATTTGTCACAGTACTTACACGTGTAAGGCTTCTCTCCTGTGTGAATTCTTTGATGTACAGTGAGGTATTTGGCACTACTGAAGCATTTCTTACAAATCCCACACTGGTGTTGTTTCTCTCCAATGTGTTTTGGTTGTGGCAAAAGAGTATTTGTAGTGTCACAACATTGATCATATTCTCCCTCCCTGTGTTCTTTCTTTTTAGTGTAGAGTCTCTGATCATCAGTCATTCTGGAACTCAAATTTAAGGGTTTTTCAAAGTCTTTAGAATTGCAAGGTTCTTCTCCACTGTGCATACTTTCATGTTTATCTGTGTTTGAAAAGTCAAGAAAGGCATCCCTCTGACTACTGCATGTATAGTCATTAGAGTTTTCTGATGTTTCACTCATTTGAAAAAGTGCACATGTGGAGGGATCATGAAGAATTTTGCCAAACTGATTACACTTACAAGACTCCTTTTCAGTCTTTCCATGTTGATGGATAGGATCACACATGTAATAGTTCTCTGGAAAATAAGAAATTTCATATGAGTATGGATTGTTCCAAAATTAAACATCCATGATAACTGACTGTCTATGATTTCTCTTAAAATAAATCAACCAGCAACTACTTAGCTACTTTTCTTACCTATAACTGAATGTGTTCTCACAAAACCAAACTGACAGTCTGCAATGTTTGTGAATCATAACAGACATATCATCCTTATTAAAAATGTCTGATGGTACAAGATGGATCAGGAAAGTGAAGAATCAAAATTAGCTTTGGGATTCAGATCTTTGACTCATTAAATTTATAATACATGTCTCTGTGTTTAAATAATTCTTCTCAGAAATTGATGAAGAACAGTTTATTCCAAGCTCACACTACTCATTCTTATTAAGGGATATGAAAGAAAAGTTGTGTTCAAAGACTAAATTCCATAAAAGATTAAATTCTTACTGAAATGTATCACAGGGTTTATTTTTCTCTCTAGAAAAGCACAAAAGATTCATCAAAAGTAGAACAAGGATAGGCAGTATTCTGCCAGATATCAGGGACTCAGATCAATTGACGGAGGGCTGTCATGGGCAGCTATGGGTGATTTGTATTCTCCACTGTCTGAGATCCATGTGGTGCCATGTTTCTTAACTTTATTCTTGGCATTATTTGAGTCTACTCTGTACACCAGCTCCTAAGAGTATTTTCTAGAAGGAAGCCTGTCTATCCTTTACTAGTAAGAAAATGAAGGACAAATATAAAGACAGACATCAAGGAAGGCTATAAAGATTAATTCTTTTTCGTGTACCAACATCAGGTTTATAATTTGTAAAATTATTCTAATCTGATGTCAAGAACATTAACTCAAATTGCATTTTGCACCAGTATTCTCATCATAATTCAGGTATTATAGGCTCTTGTTGTAGTAGTTACTAAATTTAATGATCAGTAATCCTTTCAAGTATAATTGAATATGACAAAAACATTCTCAGCTCTTCATTTCTCCTTTACCAGAAACCATTATTGTTGTCTCGCTCATTCCCAAGCCCAGTCTGCTTTCTCTCCTCTCTATATCCCAGGAGAATCTCATATGCTCCCAAAAGGTTACCAGGCCTACCATGCATACAATAATCCACATCTTCTGAGAAGTAGCCCATGGCCCATGTGCAATTTTTAGAAAGAATAAAGACATCTACCAAAATGCTGTGCTTAGCACATGAAGAGAACACAAAGCAGAGGAATGTGGGGATGTTTTCCAGGTGCTTTTTTCTATCAGAATCTTCATCAAATTTAGGGGAATTTAAAGTTTGCATATCTTGAAATTTTTCTCAGAATTGAACCATACCAGGTAAAACTTTAGACACAGAGATTTAATATATAATATAAATGCTATATGATACTAATTTTCTGAATGCATTATGGAATCAAGATGAGATATGGTTGACACATTTTACATGGAAAATGGAAAGAAAAACTGAAATAACATGAAAAGCTTATTTTCTTCTTTCAAAATTTCCATGGATTCCTGCTGCATCTAAAGCAACCTGATATAGAATTTACAAGCAATAGTGCCAATACATACAAGGGATTAGTTAGCAATTCTACAAGCAAAATATTCTTACCCACATAGACCAGGTTGTTGTAATTCTCCAACATCACATCAATGTACAAAGCCCTCTGAGAAGAGTCCAGGCATTGCCACTCCTCTTGGGCGAAGTCCACAGACACATCCTTGAAAGTCAACAGACCCTGAAACAAGAGAATTGTTTGACCATGTGCTACTAGACAGAGTGCATTCCTGTATATATGTAGAATTGAGGAAATTAGGGATGTAAATGATGAAGACAGTATCAAACTGATGATTTTAATATAGTCACCTTGTATAATTGATGTTCTACCTCTGTAATAACAGTGTGACACAACAGGCTCACAAGCAATAAACACAAAACCACTGACATTTAAGGTTTGGACATTGTTATGTATCTGTTATGGATGCTATGATTATGTCCCATAGGATCAGCGTGTACATGGTTCAGAAGTAGTACTTACGGTAAGGAAAATTGTTTTAATTGCCATACCTGTAGATCATGGTAATATACTGCCCTTCAATCAATTCTGTGAATTCTTTGATTTTCCAAGATTCTATTCTAACATGCTCATTTCGTGTGTTTGAACCTTCTGTCCCTTACCTTTATATTACACAGCAAAATCATAGATATGGAAGGTATAATTCATGGTTCAGTTCACAGGCAAATAATTTTCTCTTTTTTTTCACAGTAACTATGTGTGTAATAACACTGCATACTGTTACTTTAAACATTAACATATAAGAACAGGTAATCTATGTTATTACTTTTACACATATTTTTGAGTCACTAACATGCAGATAGAAAAGGCAAAGTTTCTCTCTTAATTGCCCCTATTGCTAGGATGTTGTGACAGCTATCCCATGTGTTTCAATATGTGGTCTTTATAATCATGATTCAAGAAAATGGGACGGTGCTCCCAAACAGAGGGGCCCTGGTTACTAATGCATAAAGTTATATTCCATCCTCTACAGCAAATAGGCATTACATCCATGTATTTTTTGTGTTAAAATGGAAACATTTTCAAATTTAGAGGTCAAAAGATCAGGAGAGATTTTACCTTCCAGGGAAAAATAGTTTGGGAACGACTAAATGGAGAAAAGTGCTGTAAGTGTGGTTTTACAGAATTACATTGTATAGTTGTAGTTATAAATGCTGCTTGTATGGCCATAAAAAAGGAAGACGAGACAATATGGTAGAGGAAAAAGAAAGAAAATCAGAGAGCTAAGCATATTTATTGTTTAACAAAGGAGGCAAATGTACAGTGCAAAAATGTGTTCTTATCAACAAATGATTCTGGTAATTTAATTAGATTCTCTTCTTTCATTTGTACAACATTCAAATAAGTAAAAAACTTTATTTAAATCCAGAAACACGTATGAATATAGAAAACAGAGAATACCCACCAGGATTTTGGGCTGGGCAAGGTCTTATGGATTAGAGAGAACACCAACAGCACAGGAAGAGAACAGATGGGAGTATATGAATATAACATGTTTCTGTATGGAAACAATGATCAGTAATCACAGACACCCAGCTGAAAGGAGAGAATATATTCCAGAAATACTTCAGATATGTGCTTATACATCAAATTGAAAAAGGATTTCAGAAATTAAATAAAAAGAACTAAAACTGCCAAACAACAAAAGAGAAAATAATTGAATAGACACCCTTGAAAGACAAATACACAAGGGGCTAATAAATATTGCAAAAGTGCTCAGGATCCCTAAAATGCCATCATGGAAACACAAACAAAAGATGATTTAAAATATGGATGTGATCAACTAACCAGAAAACTAATATTAGAAAAGTCAGATGAGAAAGAAACACACACTGTTTGTATATGTAGAGGAGTGTAAACTCATACAGTCATTGTGGGAATCAGTTTGGAAATTATTGGCAAAATTGAAGAGAAAATATAGACCCATCAATGTTACTCCTGAGAACATAACAAGAGACCTCCACATCCCAATACTTACAATAGTTGCACACCTTATTCACTGCTACTGCATTCACCAGAACAAAGTATTAGAATCAACATAATTATACTAAGATGCTATTCATATAAAATGGAATATCATTTAGTTGAAGAGAAAATGCCAATAAAATTTTCTGTAAAATGGACTCAGAATATGTACTATTAAGTGAAGTCACATAATGTCTGAAAAAGAAATCAAATTTTCCTCATACACAGAAACTGATCAATAATATGTGCATATGAGAAACAATATGCATGAGGGCACACCAGAATACTGAGGAATGCAAACAACAAATATTGAATATCAAGGTTGAGGTAGGGCTGAATAAAAGTAATGAACACCACTTATAAAACCAAATATATATCTAAATGCTATTCTACATCTAATTCTATCACAGTTATTTTCTTTTTCTAATGGATTACTTGATAAATATATATTCAATAACCAAAGTGTAAAACTCCTGTGTAAGCCTGCAGAGTTTCTATACCCAATAATATTCTTTCTAAATATAAATATTCTGGTTAATTGCAGTGTGTGATTTTTTTGTTGTCTGTTTATTTTAAACAATTTTCATAATAAAATTTAAAATATTACCACTAGCAAAAAGTTAATGACTTCCAATATCTGAACATATAATATTTCTAGAAAAGTGGATGTGTCCACTGACCTGGGACATAGTTATTGTAGATTCAGTCATTTCTTTCTGTTTTTCTTCTGTGAGTTTCTCTTTGAGGAACAATGTGAATACTGTTGGCTTGCTCTCCTTTCATATAAGGGATCAAAAAGAAACAGAAAAAGTTAATACTGGTAGCTATTAGACAAAATGTCAAATCACATGAAAAAATTCCAAGCAACCAAAATACCAGGTATCCAGATGATAATCCCAAATTCAGAGAACCCTGAATGACATTTAAAGCTTGAAATGAAAATAAGTCTCAACTATGTTACTATATCCAGAAAAACATCTATCTTAAAACAAATGGAGACATAAGTGCATTTCAAAATCCTCTCACGTTAAGATAATTGATTCCACTAAAGCAGCTTTGCAGACAATAATTAGAGGCAAAATTTATAGAAGATTATTATATTGGAAATAATAAATTTCATGTGAGGAATTGTAAATCCCAGAGAACTGGGAGGTAATCATCCATGGGCTGGACAGGAAATCACTAATTCTCACACAGAAGGAAGAAAAATACTGCTAATAGTCAAAGCAGCAACAACTTTAAAAAGAAAGGCATAGAAAAAAATGCCATGACCAATAATCTAGCCACTCTGGGAATTGATAGGGAAAATCCTCAAGTAAATATATCTACAACTTAAATAAATTCAGCAAGTCATCCCTGCCCTTTCATTCCTTGGCATATTCTCAAAGGACTTAGCATCCTTCTCCACAGATACTTGTTCAGCTATATTCATTGCTGCTCTATTTACAACAGCTGTAAAATGGAAACATTATAAATGTCCCAGGATTGGACAAATGGATGGTGAAAATCTGGTACACATATACTATGAAATACTATTCAACTCCAAAGAAAATTGAAATCATGAGCTTTTCAGCTGAATGTATGGACTAAGAAAAGATCATATTGAATGGAGAAATGCAGACCCAGAAAGTCAGAGAGTGCATCTTCTCTCTTATAGGAAGTTCTTAGCTCCAAATCTTTAGATGTGAGTACACAACATGGAGTAATTTTAGGAATCAGAAAACTCAAATGAGACCACTGTGGGGTTAGATAGATAGATGGATTAATAGACACAATAAAAATAGGGAACAATGATCTAAAAAATCGGGAAATGTAATAAAGTGTGTGTGTGTGTGTGTGTGTGTGTATGTGTGTGTGTGTGTGTGTGTGTGTGAAGTATGGAGAAGGGAGAGACACAAACACAGGTGAGTAAAATAGAAGTAATGATGTCAGGAAAAAGTCATAAGTAATCTTACTGTTACCATCTACCGAAAATGCCAACAATATACATGTCTCTGCAAGCATGTTCATTTAGAGTATAAATTAAAATTTCCCATCTAAGTTTATGATTCTTCTCACAAGTGTCATAGATTTTCTAACAAACTACCCACAGCAGTCTGCTTTGACGTTCTTGGTCACAGCTGCCCTTGACATTCCAAAAACAATACAGGCTACTGGAGTTGTCCACATTTGACTCCCACAGTTGAGGCCCTACTGCTGGAGAAGCCATGGGCTACACTCACCACCAGAGGACTTGAGATGGACCAGAATTTTAACCCTCCTTCCTGGTTACTAGCTTTCATGGTATCATAAGGCAACATGCAAGCTTTTAAAGGAGGGAGCCATCAGTCCTACACAGCTGTGAAAATTATGAACCATAACAACGGTCTACACTACTCTACATAAAAACACAAAGTGTACAAGAGTGGCACACATACATTGGTGGTAACCAACAGCTTCATTTTGGACTTGAGACCTTCTCAACAACAGTGAAATCATGCCTTGTACTGCAACCTAGACCTTTTCTGGGTTTAGTAAAAGATAGATCTGGGAGGAGATCCTAAAACTAATATGCATACCTGAAGGAAGATGTCATTCTGTAAATCTATCTTTCTTATTGGTTGTTGAATAAAGCACTGTTGACTAATAGGGAAGCAAGATAGGTGGAACTAGGAGTTAAGGAGGATTCTGGGAAAGAGAGGCAGTGTCAGACACCATGTAGGCTGCCAGACTAGGAGGTCCAGAGCCTTTTCTCCAGTAAGAGAACTACTTAGATTAACAAGTATAGGTTAAATAACTAAGTTAGAGCTAGCCAGTAAAAAACCAAGCAAACGCCCAACAGGTTTATCATTAATATAGTGTCCTTTGGCCAGGCGTTGGTGGTGCACACCTTGAATCCCAGCACTCAAGAGGCAGAGGCAGGCGGATCTCTGTGAGTTCAAGGCCAGCCTGGACTACTAATTGAGTTCCTGGACAGCCTCCAAAGCCACAGAGAAACCCTGTCTCGAAAAACCAATATATATATATTGTGTCCTTTGTGTATTTTGGGGTCTAAAGCAGCAATGGAACCCAGGCAGGATCCCACAACAATATGGCACCGACAATGTGGGGATTAAGAATTTCCACTTAAACCTTAACAAAAGCTTAAAAAGGGATTTTACAAACAAAAGACCAGAGAGAAGCACAGTTTCTTGTTAGCAGCATTTTTCTCAGGTTGGGTGTTTTGCTAGAGACAAACAGAGACTTCCATGGTCAGTATGGTAAACTTATGCCCACCATCATGGAAAAACGACAGTTTAAACAGCATGGTTTTAACAGATAAGACACGTAGCCAGAAAAACAATGTTTTATAGTAAAGTCAGATTCAGATGCAGTAAAACCTCTAAAAGGTTTACCATGTGTTTAAAAATTTTGTAGGCTTGAGAGAGAAAAAGAAACAGGATAATGGTAAAAAAAAAAAATTGAGAAGCTGGCTGTGGTGCCGCACGCTGGTAGGATTTGCTCCAGAGGCAGAGGTAGGCAGACTTCCACAGAAACCCTGTCTC